TTTGTATCGAAAAATGGATGCAATGACCAGTTTAACAACACGTTTGACAGAGAAACAAATACCAGTGTTATGCACTCAACATTCCAGCACAGTCAACACAGGTGTTTCTCACATTTAATAGAAGTAAACACAGAAATGCTAACTTCATATTGATGGCATCAAATGTATTTTTAATTTTAATTAGATCAACACACATGTGCACACGAACGTTGTCACTCTAACATGTACACTATAGTTTTTTCCTTACATGCTATGAGAGAAGCCGTCTAAGCCCATGTGTGCTTTCCATGGTACAATAAGCTCTCCCATCACTATTTGACATGATACGTACAAACAGCGAGTTCACCGAACGAGACAGATAATTTCAAATCTGACTGTAGATCTGTTGTTATCAGTATTATCTTGTACTTTTTCGATGAATGAGCTGCACACTTTGTAGTCATGCTTGGTACTTTTTAATCCATACTTCAATGCATATACGGTACCTCATTAGTATGGTGTATATGCATATATTTTAATACGATACCATATATATTCTCTGTCAATTTTTTTTTTTTTTGGCAAATTCCGGCGGGATGATAACAATTGGGAGTAATTGATAATTTATTCATTCACCTTGATCCAGGTACGCATTTTCTAAAGATGAAATGAATCATTTTCTAATTAAACATCACAGCATTTTGAAAACTGGTCATATTTCAATGGTTCTGGAATCATTATTGCGGAACAAGTGATCAATTTTGAAAATGAAAATCATCTGGCGTGTCATCTCTCTCATTAGCATAAGATGCATCATTGCTAATATTATTTGATCACTCAATTTAGAGACCCATGCTTGAGCAGTCCATGGGGTACAGCAGGGGAATTCAAATGGGTTTTATCACACAAAGAAACAATAGCAATTTGGTGCCAACCAAAATTTATAAAATTCTCCTGGGACTTGGCAATTGCAAATAACCACCCCCAGTTTGTCACCGAGCAATTATAACTCTATTAATAATGAAACAGTAATCTAACTTTCCCGTTATTTAATTTGGTTACAATACACACCAATGATGATCCATTGTCAGTGTATAACCCCGCTGGGCAAATACACACACGGCCGTCAGCATACACCAATTTTTCACTTCTCTCTTTACCACTGTGCATGGCAAATTATCTGCGCATGTCGCTTACTAATGCGTTTAGAAATTGACGCATGCCAAAATCCAGCTTGCAAAGATATTTTGAACACAGCTTGCAGAGCATCAGAGAATGATAGCCTCGGTGCAAAGCTCTCGGCACAAATCCACTTTTCTACTCGCTGTGTACAAAGTATGAGTCATCATATAAAAACAAACTCAAATATTAGCTTTCACATAATACATGATGTATTATACTTTCTTACTTAGCTTTCAGAACATGAAGCAACAGTAGAATTTAAACACTCCCTAAGATTAAGTGCTGAGCTAACACACTCAATCTAATAAAACTCAACACCCCATGAAATCCAACACTGAAACTTATCTCGCAAAATCCTAGCAAATTCTTACCCAAGGATGGAATTTGCATGGAAAAGTGACCTCCAATAAAGAAAATAAATAAATAAAAAAATTACAACAGGATGAGAGAAAACATTCTTGATTTGAGAAACCAGATGGAATTAGGAAATGACTATCCCATCTGTTTAATGTGTTTGATCAGCATAAAAGCTTCCTATGGCTACCTTTCCTAGAAACTCGTAAACCACATTCTACTGTGTTCTCCACTTGATTACTTCCTTTTTTAGCTGGAATCCCCCAAAACTGACGCCGCACCCAACTAAAAAATCTTCTAAATTAGTAAGGGTATAATAATTGTGACAAATCTTTCAGTCTACATATACAACTCATTAACATAATTATCCAATTAAAATCAAAAACTCAATTTCTTGGTAATTAAATTTTCTAGAATTTAATCTACTCGTTAAATGGTGTCTAACATCCTGTCACGTAATGGCACCTGCGTACACAAGTCACCAGTGTTAACTAATATAATAATTTAAAAACACTAGATATTGCACTACATTATAATTGATGGACACTGCATGTTTATAGGCTTGAGGGGGGGGGGGATGAAATTCAAATTACCTCATTGCCTGATGAGTATCTCAACTGAATGTAAACGCAAATATACCTTGAAAAGCTCTAGTATTGATTGCCTGCATAGATCATACAGCTACAATTAGGTTCTCTTTTTACCTCTGGCATCTTTCAGGACTAAACCATTATTTTCGCGGGTGAAAAGGGTTTCAGTCAGAACCTAGGGGCAAGAATTTATTTCTCCAAACATCTTTTCTTAACATGCAAATGTTATTCAGTATGTTTTTTCATTTTATTCTACCCTCCTCCAAAACTATTTGTAGTCCCTCTTCCCTTTCTCACCTCCAAAAATAATGGTCAATCCCTCATCAGCAAAAGTAATGAAATCCATGATAGCATTCAGGAGTTCAGGAAGCCTGTTTTTTTTTCTTATGAGACTTTCTTTTGCCCTGGACAATCACCAGAATACATGCCCCACTACCAAGTTGACACACAGTAATAACTTTATTAACAACATACCAAAGTAGCAAAGGCCAAATGGTTTTTAAATTTGATTCATATTTTCTGCCTCTCTGGCTGCTTCCTCCATGCCTGGGACTTAAGCCAAAAGACTACCAGTACTCATAATTTATCAGCAAGTTTGTTTTAAATCACATGATAATGTTTATTGGTTTATTACAAACAATCATGGATTCCATGGTACCCTGGTAATATAAAACAACATTCTAATGTGTAACAGTACCATATTTTTCAATTTTTTTTTATTTTTTAAATAATGCAAGATCAGATAAAAAAGTATACCATCAGCTTACATTAAAGTTAACTCTGCCATAGGAATCTATGGTAAAGGACAAAATGGTCCAATACTGACAAAACGTCCGCCATTTACTAAAATACAACATCATTTTCTCAAAAACTAGGCAGGTGACCCTCAAGTTTTTTTGAAGTCAATATCCTTATATTATCCACAAGTACAATTCATTGCAAAATGACTGAATTCTGTGTATTTTTAATTATGAGTACCCGGTAGGCGTCTACCTTAAATGCAATGTAATGGTAAATCCCAACAACAGTTGACAAAGGCTTATCAACACAAGGAGTGCGATGGCTTTAGAGAAAGCTAACTAATAACACCACTTTGCCAACTAAGAAAATAAATGTCTTCTTAAAATGGTTGACATAGCAACCTGTAAACTTGTAATGATGACTTGAGCTATTTTGAACATTAGGATTAAAAGCTTCAAAAATACACCACCTTTTTTTTGTGGGTCCACAAACTACTTTTAAATGTATGTTTAAAAAAATAATTTAGAGTCGCCATCCAATTGCCTATACACTGCGTCTTTTGAACACACCTGGCTAGGGTTTCTTCTCTAAACAATAAACAGCTCACAACAAAAGCAGAATTTACCTCTCCATTTCAACAATGAGTCCCTTTTTAATTGACACAAGAAGTATGATAAATAGGCCCGACTCCAGTGTAATGTGAAAAGTAAGCACTCAAAAAGGAATGTCTAGTCTGGTGCATGTACACGGGGTGTTGACCAGCAATTTAGCTGCTTTCATGGTTCTGACCACATTGTGCATTTCGGATAGCTGAATTCGTCAGTACAGTATTAGCCTATATTACAGACATTCCGACTGCCTGTCACCTGCATTATTAATGCTATAACAGCCTGGCTGGGTTTTTAACATGCTAATACAGGCAAACAACAGCAAATTCCATTGGAATTTATGGCTTTCACATGTGGTTCTCTGTATATGATATGCCAGCCATGGCTTGACACATCTCTACAGGAGACATGGTGCTTTATAATTTAATGTGTAGGAATGGAGGAAGAACTATTCTCAATCTATAATCGCAACATGCAGTTTTTAAATTAGCTGTTACCAAGGACTTGGTTCACGCACAGTAAATATAGTAGTTGTGAAATTTGTGTTGAAGGCGATGATGTCTAGAGTAGCCAATGCTTAGTCAGGAAACTGACTTGGAGCCTCGACAAGAGTCGGATGTGAGAGGAAAAAATTTGTCATACTATTATCATTGCTAGTATCATAAAAAAAAAAACAGACCCCCCCTTTTGTCTGTGCAGAATATACACGATATATAATATACTTTAAGAAAATATACTGTGTGTGGTTCACTGACAGATATAGTGGTGTTATCTTTAGATAGACTATTGACAGCTCTAATAGTTACACAGAGTGATGGACAGTGACACGTGCCTGATATAAAAACATATCTGTATCTGCCATAGAGTATTTTGAGTCAGCTGTCATTTAGAAATACAAGACATGCTTCACGGTTTTAAAAAAAAATATGAACATATTAAATTAATATTTCACATGAAACTATGCGCATATATAAAATATTAATTCATCTCGATTGGATTCTCCGCATTCAATTTTTCTAATTAAAAAATAGTGTTGGTATTTCATTTTTGCTGTACAAACCAAATTGACCTGGATTTTGCTTTTTTGGGAATTTGATATGTGTTGCTCACATATGTGAACGGCATTCAGGACCGTGTCTGCCTCTTCATGAGCAATTAGAATCGTGAATGACATATGCGATCCATGTCCAAATTTCTTTTCAAATTGGTGACTTTTCCACAACAAATTCCCGTCACGTAATTTACGACAGTGGCAACTAAAAATTCCAAATCGATAGCAATTAAGATATAATAAAATTATATTTGTTATCGTACGTGCTCACCAATGGGCATTCACTGTCAGTCACGGCGTCCGTCTGGATTCAAAAATAATGAATACAACTATGAATGAACCAGCGACGGACAGTCTTGATCTTGTTTACAAAATGCATTAGTAAATCATATTGTAAACAAGAAGTTCACAGCCACGCTAGCGCCGATGAGGCTTATTAAATCCAATCTCGATGATGGATTGTACATACAAACACGTTACTAGAAGATCACTTACCGGGTAGGCCATTTTGCTAGTAGAATCGCTACTACTACTAGCCCCACAACACACAAGATCAATGATGGTGAGCTTGGTCCAACAGCGGGATAAAATATCTTTCTCTTCTCTTTCGGTATTCAATGAACAGGAACGGATCCAGACACAGGGGAGAGACAAACCGTGTTCCAATGAATGAAAACTATTGTAGTATCTTGGCTGGTTCACTTACATAAAGGCACACATTGTACAATCTATCGGTACAAAATATCCTTTGAAAACACAAGAAGCGGTCTGCTGAACGAAACGGATCCGGAGTCAATCAGAAACATCGTACAATTCTTCTTAGAGTGAGGGGTTTGCCGAGCTGATGTCAAATTTAAGTGTGTAGTTCGGTACAAATATCTACGAATCGCAGCAGGAAATTACCGAAATAGCCAGATCTCCCCCACAAATAGTAAAGACAGTGGGTACTAATAGACACAGCTCGTAGATAGTCAGAAAGAAATCCAGGAAGACTTGAAACCAAGCAAATTATTCACGCCTCATTCCTGTCTGCATTCCACATATACATCCCCGGATGTAAACAAACAGCCGTTTGAAACGAGCTCGGCTATTGGTCGCTTTACTGTAATTAATTGGAGAAATATCGTCTGAAGTTGTCTTAGAAACAATAAACTCCGTCTAATTCGAAACGTAGTTTTACCATTTGCAATTAAACAAATTAATCGGCGGCGTTAATCCGAACAATTGCCTTCAACATAGCGGAACAGACTATCTGTCTATGACCTCGCTTAGTTACAGTTAGCCAATCGGGGAAAGCGTCCCAACTATTAGTCTAAGGGCCAGTAAAAATGACGTCATTCTTCACGTCAGGGATAAATTGACGTTCATTCATGACAGGTCTTTTATTGCCGCCCATTTTGGTAGATTCCAAATAAGGCAAAATCAGCTTGTGGGGTTTGGACGTAAACACGATACGAATAATATTGACAATGATTGTTGATAACGGAAACTACTCGATAGATACCCGCTGTGTACAAACAAATAAGCCTGAACAGTTTTAGACCAGTTCACATAGTACGAACTCCCAAATATGACGTCATACTTTTAAATAACCCCGAAACTGAAATTACAGTTAAAAGGTGGTCTATTGTGGACGGTGAGATATTTTGTTTCAAATTATCAGCATATAAATCTCAACTTTTAAAAATAGCATATTTCAAGTTCCGAAAGGAAAAAACAAACATAGTACAGCATTTCATTGCAATTAAACACAAAGTTCAAGTTTAGGTTGTTTCGTTATTTTATTTTATTTTATTTTATTTTATTTTATTTTATTTTATTTTATTTT